AGCACGCGTCATCTGGTTTACCCTCCTTGAAGCACGTCATGCTTAGCTCGCTTCGCTGAGCTTGGCCCTTGGGGGGAGGCATGTGAGGTGCATACCTCTTGACGCCCCCTTTTTGAATCCTGGTGGTCACCTCTCACTGCCCTTCATTCCCGGTCTTGTGGAAATACCGGGTGTGACGGCTGTGGTTTTCCCTTAAGTTGCCTACCAGGTTCCGCCTTCATTGCTGCCAGCCGTCGAGCATGTTACCAGACTCAATGTGTCCAATTTTGAATTCTATGGACCATACCAATGCACTCGAATGCACCCTGGAAGGTGCATCAGGTTTTCGTGATGTGGTTTTACCACGCCATGTTGCAAAGCCCGGCCTTCTTACCTTCTTACAAAGTGCCAACGGCGGCACTGTGATGCCCGCTGACGTGTGAGCATTTCCTGGCTCTACATGCCGTGTGCACACGCCCATGCATCTTCTTTGCATTTCGTTGATGGACAAGAACTACTGAGTGCACTTTGGAATTCATCGCCCCTGTCTCACCCATCCTCGTGCCTTTATGGCCTTACGAGTTACTTTAAAGGTTGCCCTTGCGGTTTTGTGTTTGGTTTTGTTGGTTTGTGTTTGTTGGTGTTGTTTTTTTGTTGTTCCTTTTTGCCTCGCAACCTTGCTGGTAACTCGATCTTAAATCGACTAAGGTGACTTGTGCAAAACCTGCACACACAGCGCCTCCACTCGTGCAAAAAAAGGCACTGGCGACTTTCTAGTGCTACTCAGTACACTTGTCAGGCTCATTTCCTCACACTCCTCATGCGAATTCGACTCGGTGACTTGTGCCTCTCGGCGCACACAGCGCCCTGCCCGTGCAAAAAAAATTCTAGTGCTGAGTACGCGGAGTATCTGGGGAGCTGGAAGATGAGAACTGGCGACTTTGCAGTGCAACTTTAGTACGTGGAGTATCTGGGGAGCTGGAAGATGAGAACTGGCGACTTTGTAGTGCAACTTCAGTGCGCGGAGTAATCTGTGGAGCTGGAAGCTGAGAACTGGCGACTTTGCAGTGCAACTTTGGTGTGCGGAGTATCTGGGGAGCTGGAAGATGAGAACTGGCGATTTTGTAGCACAACTTCAGCACGCGGAGCATCTGGGGAGCTGGAAGATGAGAACTGGCGACTTTGTAGTACAACTTTAGTACGCGGAGCAATCTGTGGAGCTGGAAGCTGACTTTGCAGGTACAACAGTACGCGGAGCAATCTGTGAAGCTGGAAGCTGAGAACTGGCGACTTTGTGGTACAACTTGAGCACGCGGAGTCTCAGGGGAGCTGGAAGATGAGAACTGGCGACTTTCTAGTACAACTTTAGCACGCGGAGCAATCTGTGGAGCTGGAACCTGAGAACTGGCGACTTTGTTGTACAACTTTGGTACGCGGAGTATCTGGGGAGCTGGAAGATGAGAACTGGCGATTTTGTAGTACAACTATAGTGCGCGGAGCAATCTGTGGAGCTGGAAGCTGAGAACTGGCGACTTTGTAGCGCAACTTGAGCGCGCGAAGCTGGGAACTGAGTATCTGGGGAGCTGGAAGATGAGAACTGGCGACTTTGTAGTACAACTGTAGTACGCGGAGTATCTGGAGAGCTGGAAGATGAGAACTGGCGACTTTGTAGTACAACTTTAGTACGCGGAGTATCTGGGGAGCTGGAAGATGAGAACTGGCGACTTTGTAGTACAACTGTAGTACGCGGAGTATCTGGGGAGCTGGAAGATGAGAACTGGCGACTTTGTAGTACAACTTTAGCACGCGGAGCAATCTGTAGAGCTGGAAGCTGAGAACTGGCGACTTTGTAGTACAACTGTAGTACGCGGATGAGTCATCTCTCGCGGCTGAGTCATCTCTCGCGGCTGCTCTGGCGCCCCTGCAGCTGAGTCATGTCTCCCGACCACCCGGCTTTCTTGAGAGGTTGACACACACACACACAGAGAGAGACCCACGCACTGCCTCAACTTACTCGGACACACACACAGACAGAGACTCATACACACACAGACATAGATACACACACACACAGAGACCCACACACTGCCTCAACTCACTCGACTTAACACTTCACACTGAACACTTAACAGATAACTCACACTCTGACTTCCTACGTGATGAAGAATGCTTTCGGGCCACTCGTCGTCTAGTGTTACCAGGAGATTCATTCAAACGAAGTCAAAGATGACCTGTGCACCATGCACACATGGCGTCTCCACCCGTGCATGAACTGGGAGCTCATGAAGAAGCTAGTTCTTTGCAAGGTATAATGCAAATTCGTGTATTTACTACGATCCAGCAAGGGAACTTCGAGCAGAAGTGCGTGGAGACAATTTCAGGACAGTAAGAAGTTTTGAAGACATCATAGGGTTTCACACTTCTGCAGCCAAAGAGTGGCAAGTTGTGGAACGAGGCATTCTCGGTCCACCTGGATCACCAAAGGCCAGTCACCAGGTCAGCTGGGTGAAACGAGGGTTTTTGGTGGGAACCAGATCCAAGACATGCAGAGTTGTTCATCAAGTGGTTAGGCGCTGGTCCACCAGGCAAGGTCAAGACACCATTGGCCAAGCCAAGTCAAGAGGAACTACAACATGAAGAAGTTCCTTTGAGTGTTTAAGACGCAACTATGTATAGATCTATGGCCATGAGAGCAGCGTATTTGGCACAAGATCGACCTGATCTGCAAACTGCTATGCGCTCATTGGTGACAAGGTCTACAGAGTCCAACGTCAAGGCATTGGGACATGTCAGGTATCGACCAAGAGTTTCGCAGCTGTTTCCAAACCAGAGCGCCTGCAACCCCGTCAACATGTGGCCAGACAGACGCCGACCGTGCAGGATGCGTAAGGACACAAAAGAGTGTGTCAGGAAGCGTGCTCATGGCCAACAATTGCTGTCTCACCAAAGGCCAAGGAGTTGTCTCCTTAAGCAGTGGAGCATGTCAGTTGCTCGGAGTCGCACCAACTGCAAAGGATTGGGGATCTTTCCCAACAAAGAGGTGACAATGGAGACGCTTCCGCTGGCATAGCCATGCGAAACCGTCGAGGTTTAGGACGAGCCAAACACGTTGACACTCAGTACCGCTGGGTACAAGAGCAACCAGCGAAGAAGGAGTTCCGCCTCAAGAAAGAAGGCGCCAGCCGAATGCTGCCCGATGCTAAGGGAAGTTGCCACCGAGGACAAGATGAATGAAACCATGAAAGGCGTGAACTTCCACTGTTTGGAAGGTGAGCGTGAACTCGCACTGAGAGCTTGAACAGCTTGAGCCGGAGTAGGGCTGGTGACGGCTAGCTTGAGTTTGCTTTGCGAAGCAGAGGGGTTAGCTTGAATAGCCTGCTCAAGACCAAATATTGATATATAAATTCTATTGACCGCCCCTCCAATGTGATTAATGAATGATAAACCAATCATTTTTGGTGACCCCCGCCGCGCAGCACCACTATCATCACCCACCTACCATAGCGTGACGTCCATGCACTGGCCGGCAGTGCTCTTACAATGAGGTTGCGCAACAGGGCTTGGACGCAGTGTGTGCAGCTCTTACACATGCCAACGTTTACACGCTGTATTTTTTTCGCAAAGCCGGCGTTCGCACACCATATTGCCCTCTACACAAGCTAGCCTTGACGCAACACAGGCAAGCCGTGTTGACAGGCCTCACCGCACCACATGCCAAGCAACCTCACCTCGCGACCCTGGTCACTTGCTCGGAGCGGGGGCGTGACATACGACCACCTTTGCGCGGCATAGTTTAGCACCGGGCAATTCTTACACACCACGGCTGTCACACACACCAGTGTTGACAAACCTCCACGACACCACACGTTGTAGCAACCTCTCCTCTCCGACACCAGTCCCTTCTTTCACACAACACATTTGATACACCTCTCACATATTCCTGGTACCTCTCTACCTTTCGTGTTTCCCTGTTTCAAGTTCGCTCATGTGCTAACCCTGACTCGCTTAACATGCCCTAACAGTTTGATGGTGCGCTTTGTGTCTACACGTTTGTGAGCTTAAAACCTCGGACACTCCCTTTGAACAGTTCTGGCCCGAACGGTGGTGTCGTCGTTGAAGCTGTTGCTGGCCAACTAGGCTTTGCGCTTTCCCAAAGTCACCGGCTTGGCAGGATTTTTCCACAAATCAAACCGCCGATATGGATGGTGACATTTCCGTTTTCTGAGTGTTGCTATGGCTCGCAGTGGCAGTGCCAGGGTGTGGACGTGTCTCGCTGCAGCCGCTGCAACTACAACTATGCTTGTCACAACTGTGATCATGCTGAGCCGAACGGGTTTTGTTTGTGAGTCTTTGAGAGGTGGAGAAAAAAAACTCAGAGTGCCAAGGTGCAAGTTCCCGCTGGTGGTCCATGTGGGTCCGCACAAGACCGGCACTACCTCATTTCAACGCTTCTTGTGGATGCACGCGAAATGGCTTCAGAAAGAGCATGGCATATTTGTGGCCGCAAACAATAGTAGGAAAGAAGCTGCCCACATTGCAAGCACAATCAGCAAACAGTTTGGCGGATCGTTTAACCCGAAGTATGCAAATTCTACAAAGATGGCAGAGCTCTTCCAAGTCATTGATAGCATGCCTAAAAATTGTCCTGTGATATTATCATCGGAAGAGTTCTCCAGGTGGCACACAGCAGAGTGGAATTACTTCAAGAGCCAACCTGCTATTCAAAAGCGGTGCTTGTCGATGGTAGTCACGCATCGGCAAACATGGAGTTTTCAGGCATCGATTTGGAATCAACAGAACAAACAACTGACAATGCAGCAGCCTTTTCTCATCACAGTCTTGAGAGAAAAGGATAGCTACACTGGTTTTCAGTTCGAAATTCTAGACGTGTTGGAGTCGGTTTCTGATGTTGTAGATGCAGTGTCCTACGAATATTTGCGAGAGGCGAATTACAGCCTGGCGACTTTTGTAGTTTGCAATGCCACAAAAAGGTTGGAAGGCACCGAGTGGG